TACAAGCACAGACCAGGTAACGTTAAAGCAACACTGAACGCAGGGGGCAGATGTTGGTTTCGGCTGTTTGAGTTGTTTGATAGGCTGCGTCATTAGCAAGCAAGCGGCTCACCTGCTGCCCTGATAACTGCTTGTTTGGCTGGCTGATTTGCAGGCTGCCCCTCCTGTGACCCAGGGTTTGACTGTATGTGTATTCAGAGCCAGTGAGCAACGGACTTTCAAACTAATAATCATAAAATAAAAACTGCGTCAGCGTGCGATAAATTATTGTCGCGATAACGCGTTAGCGTGCCCAGCCCTAATATATATGTATCTATGGGCTTTATAGCATCTTTTCCATTGTTTTTATGATTGCACACACATATGTGGTTGAAAAGAATCATTTTGGATTTTAAAATGAATCTCAATCCGAACCCCAGACTAACTCTCATTAAGATGAGAACAAGCATGTCCTCACGTTGGAGGATTTTCTTTGTCTTTCCTCATCTTCCTTATTCTGCTTCATTTCCATATCCTCATGTCCATGCAGGCAAGTGAGTAACTTTCTCATTAGATGCATGTGCATTCATTCAAACTTACCAACTTAGACAGTCACCTCTCTTACACTGATTCACCTTTCTGCAGCGATTCATCTCCACTTTCACAGGCCAGATTTGTTTCAATAGAACGTAGAGATTCCGGCGCTTCTGGCGTGTGAACGGACCCATTTCAAATGCTCAGCTTTCCAATTATAGTACATCCCGCTTAACTGATGCTTATTAATTCCTTCAACCTCATTATGGCATGCAAAGTAGGGCTCTCCCATGGGATGAATACTAATGAAAATAGAAGCTTTTTGACAGTGCTGCTGCTGTCAGAGGTCTTTCTGTTTAGATGTTTGCTTTAAGCTCCTGCGCACAGCCAAAATAAATGCTCCTGGAAAAGAGCATTTCTAAGGAGTCCACTAGTGAAATCACTGTAAGGGAGCATTGATCAAAATCAGCCAGTCCTGTGGTAATCGCTTGCGATAGCAGGGACCTGCAGTACTCGTGCAGTGGTGTGTATGGATTACATCCAGACTTGAAGAGGGTCCTACAGTAGAGTGCTTGTAGTTGGAGTAAATAAAGCTCCCTCTGACTGACACTGAGCCATCAGGGCCAGGCCATAGGGCTAACCCAAACAAAAAACTTCAATCTCTCACTGCTTCCCAAGGGCTTGATTGATTGATTCGCCAGCCTATCAGTGGACATTGATCTCAGAACCCGACCCTCCCACCCCCAGCTCCCCCAGGCCTCCTCTCTGGCCATTCATCTGCTGGCTGTCAGAGGGATTCACTGGAGGCCTGGATCTGTGGAGACCCGCACTTTTAAACACACTTTGGAGGCTTTCTGAAGGGAAAGCATTTTACTGTGCCTCATATTGTTTTTGAATCTTCCCTTGATCTGGCTGCTTTTTCTATAATGAGGCTCATGGGTCATCATATACACTCACCCGCCACTTTCTTAGTTACACCGAGGGATGAAACAATTACCGGTTTAACGGTAAACCATGGTAAAATTCCAGACTGTTATCATTACTGTACACATTTTAATTACCATGATAACCGGGGAATCTCACGGCAAACACTGTCCAGCGTCTCCCAGAAGCAGGCGTGCATGCGCAGAATGCAACGTGGGTTAGTTTGGGTCGATGACAACACGGCGGAAGACTTTTTCAGTCACTCTGTCACTCTGTCTCAGTCAGGTCATAGTTCAGTTTTTATGAGAGCGCTGAGGGAAACTTGATTGAAGAAAATAACCTTCTAGTAAACGCAGGGTGAGCTAACTTTTAGCTTTGATTTGTCTCTCTGACTTGCTAACAGCGTGTAACCTGAAGTTCTCAGTGTTGCTGCTCTTGTAAAAACTCTACACGTTGTTCTGTGCGTCGTGTGTCGGCAGAGTCTATTGGTCCACTGCACATGATAACATGTAACGCTGTTTAGTCAACCAACCAGCATATCTACAAACGCCACAGACTGCTCTGTATTTGTCTGTTTTTGGGCTCATTGCAGTTACTATCGCTGTCTTCTATAGAGTCTTATTTGTTTTCATGTAATTGTGCACGGGGTCATTCTGTTACCAATATAATATAATATATAAAATCTTGATAATGCACACCAGTGATTTTCATATGTTTACAAAAGGTATTTGCTGTTATTTTATATTTTATGCAAATAAAATGGCAATTGTATTTGTAGTTTTCAATATAAAACTTGTTGAAATGGTTTCATTTTGATGAAAATATTTTGATGACAAATTATTTCATGACTTTACAACGTAAATTAAAAAATATTTTCCAATACAAATTACGAGAAAATACACAGAACCTAGATTACGGCATGTTTAAGTGGCTCTGGCTACGCAACGCAATGCAAAAGAGTTGGTCATGAGTGGGACCACAAGCCAGGTCAGAATAAAAAAGAGTAAGTCCGTATGCTTACTTCTAAAAGGAATTTTTACAGCTAGAATGTCCTTCAGCAATATTAGTACTGTATAGTATAATAATTATGACTAAAATTAGACTAGAAAACAGAGGTCCACCAATTAAATCTTCCCTTTAATAAAGTAATCATATTCATGATCTATGTTGCCGTTTGCCAATGCTGTGAAGGCTTGAGTTGAAAACTTTCTTGGTTAAATAATCACTACAAAAGTGAGTAACCGGATTAGAGAATAACTATGTACATAGATGAACAGAAAGAGAGCAGTCTAGTACAACTCCCAAGCATCTTCATAGTAGTCTTGAGTCAAAATATTTCAGTTATCCTTCCACAAGTTTCTCACAATATCTTGCTGGAATTCTGGCCCATTCCTGTGTAACTGAGTCAGGACTGTAGGCATCATTGCTTGCACACACTATTTTAATTCTGAATGCAAACTTTCAATTGGATTGACGTCAATAGTTTGTGATGGCCACTCCAGTACCTTAACTTTGTTATCCTTAGGCCATTTTGTCATATCTTCGGAAGTTTGCTTGCTGTTGTATTCCATTTGGAAGACCAATGTGCAACCAACCTTTAATTTCCCAGCTGATGTCTTTAGATGTTGCTTCAGTATATCCACATAATTTTCTCTCTTCATGGTGCCATCTATTTTGATAGTGCACCAGTCCCTCTTGCAACAAAGCACCCCCACAACACGATGCCGCCTACCCTGTGCCTCACGGTCGGCTTCACCCTTTTCCCTACAAACATAACGATGGTCATTATGGCCAAACATTAACATTTTTGTTTCATCAGACCAGAGGAAAATTCTCCAAAAAGCAAGATTTGTCACCATGTGCAATTGCAAACTGTAATCTGGCTTTTTATGGCGGTTTTGGAGCAGTGGCTTCAGCTTTTCAAGTTATGTCAATATACATCTCGTTTTATGTGGATGTGTTTCTTCAGCAGCTTCACAAGGTCTTTTGTTGTTGTTCTGGGATTGATTAGCACTTTTCACACCAAAGGATACAGAACACGTCTCCTTCCTGAGCAGTAAAACAGCTGCGTGGTCCCATGGTGTCTATACTTGTGTACTATTGTTTGTAGAGATGAACGTGGTAGCTTCTGGCTTTAGAAAATTTCTCCCAAAGATGGACCAGACGTGTTCCTCCAAATTTGTTTCTGAGGTAATATCACACATTGCATAGAAATTTATTTTTTCATCAAGACTGTTGTAGAACATGTAAAGTATAGTACCACTTCAGTATTTCTAAGTATGGTAACTGACTCTAAATAACAATATGACATGTGGCAAAAGTAGCCCGGGGCTCAAAAGCTTAAATGTTTCTTGTGTGTGCACAGGGTAATAGAACCCTGATTAAACATTTCACTGTTTAAGATGAGATTCTGGACAAATTTTCAATTTTCAATTTGTTTCCTCTTCTGCAGTGTTTGTTCCCAATTGCAACAATAAAACATTGTGGCAAAAAAATAAAAATTAAATGGCAAAATCTGGTGTCCTGTTATCCGTCTTGACTGTCATTGTGCATCCAATACAGGACACACGGTGCCATGGGCAAACTGGACCTGCATTGAGTGCTTGGCTACTGCTGCAACAGTTTCACAAAGCTTTAATACTTCTAGAATCAATTAACCGAGCTGTCTGTGTATCTACCCAACACCAGTAAAAATAACTTATTGCAACGCGGTTTCCTTTGAAAGATGTACTGCTCAGAAAAGTGCTGGACAGCGCTCATAAAGGACAATCGATGGAAGAATAAGGAAGTGGTGCATCTGAGTTAACTGAAGAGGGAGAGTCTGTGCAGAAAGTGTAGAGTGTAGATATTCCAATAATAAAAAAGTAATAAGGTTAGGTTTTCTCTGTATTCACGTTTGTATTGTTGTTGTTATTGAGACGTGTTCCTTCATTGTGTAGTAATAATTGTAATGAGGAAGCTGGTTATTGTTGTACAGATTCTCATGTGTGACAGCATTTGCTTGCAACATCTGAGACCTTACAGTGTTGACTATTTTTAGTAATAAATTGTACAAAAGATTACAGATTTTAAAGTGAGTAACTAAACTACATTTACCAATCCCAGTACCACTCAGTCTTTTACATTTTGGGGGGGGGGGGGGGGGGGGGGGGTCAGCTTGTTTGCTGTTATACTGAAAGTTGGGTTGATCCATTTCATATCTGTTCATTCAGTGGAGAGACCATTCTGCAATGTGGTGGCCACGTTAAGACAGGAGAAATAGGCCCTCTGGTACCTTTTTAAAGTTTTGTTCTTTACTTGTTGTGTCGTGTTCGCCGCCTTACATATCTCAGCTGCTTGTCACCTTGCATTCTCCTTCAGTTTTTCTTTCTTTCTTTCAGGTTTACCTTTTGTTTTTTGTCAAATTGATTATACAGGTTGGTGTAAGCCATTTTTTCTCTCTTACTCTTATTGTAAAGCTTCTTCCGACTAGTAGGAATGGCTCTACATAATCATGAACATGAAAGCCTCTTTTCCAACTAAAACAATTCAACCCTAATCAGTTGTGTCTCTTTCTTCAACAGGGGGAATATTTGAGTCCATTGAAAGTGGCCCATCAGGTGCTGAGGAACTAGCCTTTAAATTTGCTTTAAACACAATCAACAGGAACAGAACCCTACTGCCAAACACCACGCTCACATACGACATCCAAAGGATAAACATCTATGACAGCTTTGAAGCCTCCAGGAAAGGTATTTATGCGTTTGTGATTGGGAGATCTGCCTCCGGTGTTGGTATCCTCTCGACTGCTCTGTGTGTGTAACTATATGTGTTAGTGTGCACATATGCTATGCCATAGCTGCTTTGCATCGTAAATGTATTCTCCATTTGCAAGCAGTGGCTTAGATTGTGACAATTATAATCAGGCGAGGGAGAAATAGCTGAGCACTTCAAATGTAAACAGAGAGAATTGATTGGTTCCAGGTAATGACTCAGCTGCAGTAATTCAAAGACCTGTTTGGCCCCCAGAGACAGCCAATAAAGTGCTATAATCTATCAGTTTTGTGTGTGCATCAGGCTGACATTTCAAGTCTCTTATCAATTTCGGGCCATTATATCCTGTTTCAGTGATTTAGCCAACTCCGTTATTTCAAATATGGTGATTAAAGTGCACAGTTGAGCCAATACAAAGATGTGCAGTTGTTTGGATGTCTTCCGAATCCAATTTAATGAAAGCAAGCTCAAATTGATCTCAGTCACACCTTTAGCTTCAGCTTCGTGTTGTGGAAATGTTGTGTACCAAAGTAGAGGTTTTGTTATCAATAGCAGTAGATACATGAACAGTATATAATATATAAATTTTTCAACACTACATTGGCAACAACATTTCTATTCCAAACCCATGGGCACGGATATACCCAAATTCAGGGGGCTGTGTTCCTTTTCACACAGCTCTTGCAGGCCACAACAAACTATGGGGAAACCATGTCTTTATGGTGCCTGCATTGCTATATATATATATATATATATATATATATATATATATATATATATATATATATATATATATATATATATATATATAATCTGTGTTACCCATAAGTTCATTTATTTGTGGCAGCCCACCACAATATCAATGCTGACCGCCACAGATTGAGGTTTCAATTTCTTTTTTACTAGGCCTATTTAAAGTCGTATTTGAATGCATAGCGCCGTAGCACATTAGCGCAGCACATCCTCTCACCCGTCCTTCTCGCTCTCCCTCGTCTACACAGCTGCACAAATATGTCCAACAATGTCAATGTCGGAGACCCAGCTTAAAAAAGTTATTAGCAAGCATGTAAGGAGCCTGGAAATTAGGGAGAGCTAAGTTAATGTCAGAAAACACCTGGAAAACATATGGACTGCACGTGTGCATAATGCCATAATGACCACCCACTCTCGGGGAACCCGGGGCCATGCTCCCCCCGGAAGAACATTTTGTAGATTTTAAAGTTAAATGCTTTAATTTGGTGCAAAATTAAGAGGCTATCTATGAAGAACTTTGTATGCTTGTAAACAATGTTGTGCTCTAATAAAGTATTTGAAAAAAACTCCAAATCAATGAATAGAAAATCGAATATGTAATTATGTGTAATTATTTTTTTCTACTTTTAATGGACACATGTAATATGTTTTATACTTAAAGTGAATATAATCCCATTAATCTTATTTCCATCTTGTATAGATACTTTATTTTGAAAACCGAATGTTGTCACATGTGTATCCTCCTCACGCTAAATTCATCCAGTCCGACCCAGTTTGATAAATAAATAAATAAATAATGTTGTAACATGAAGACTTCACAGCCTCTTCAGGTAGGACTCTCATACTGCAGCACTTGTCTTTGTAAAGACAAACTGACAGGATAAAATCTCTAACCTGCCTGTCAGCTCGCTCTGGGTGTGTCATTTACCGTAAAGGCTTTAATACGTGTGCACTCCAAATGTAGGCGCGGCTAGCTTAATCGCCTTCTCACAAATGAATGACAGAAACAGGCCGTTAACGTTAACATAGTTACCTCAAAAGAAAAGTGGTTGTCTCGAGTCAAATGCCAAAGTGTGCGAGCTTACAGTAGCGCAGAGCAGCGGCGCAAAACACAACTTTAGAGGTCTGAAGTGTAATTATGAGATGTGTAAAAAATATTTGCGGTTCATTTTGAAACTAAGGCGGAGCAAATTAGACTATGGCGGCCGCCATGGTGTCGTTAATTAATGGGGAAACTCTGCACACAATACTTCATTCATTAATTGTTGGTTTGGCTCTGCAGGTGGGGTTTGTTGACCATAAGAAAAATATAGAATATCACCAGACTTATACCAAATATATCACAAAAGATTAAATACACTAATGAATACTGTTAACATACATAGTATGCCCCTAATGCTAAATTGTTGCTTACGACATAATTCACAGAACGCTTACATCAGCTAGTTTCCACTAAAGTTTCTGAGCTCTGTAGGAATTGAATAGATCACTGGTCATTATGAGCATATGCTGCATATTGTTCAAAGTAAAGGGAGCTAACTAGTCATGTTTCCCCCCTCTAGCCTGTGACCAGCTTTCTCTGGGGGTAGCAGCCATCTTTGGGCCCTCACACAGTTCCTCTGCCAATGCGGTCCAGTCCATTTGTAACGCCCTTGGGGTGCCACACATCCAGACTAAGTGGAAGCACCAGGTATCGGACAACAGAGACGTCTTCTATGTTAGCCTCTATCCTGACTTCTCCTCCCTCAGCCGGGCCATCCTGGACCTGGTCCACTTCTTCAAGTGGAAGACGGTCACTGTGGTTTATGATGACAGCACTGGTAAGACCACAAACACTTCCCTTACTTTTACAGATAGATCTTCTCCTCCTTTTGTTTCCTTCTAGCGGTTCGCTCTGAACTTGTCCAGCAGTTACCCGGATGACTCATTGTTATTCCTAATTCATTTTTTCATATAGCATACATTTCCCAATCAAGGGTAAACACTGGGTTATATTCTACATTTAATTTATTTATTTACTGTTTGATCTTATTGGTAAATACCATTCCTATACGACAATGTGACATAAACAAAGAGAGAAAACAGTTTCACACATTTGACACATGCATTGTATGTAGAAACAAACTGAAAGTAAATATAGAAATACAGCAATATAGACATGACAACAAAAATAAGCTGTGTCATATTGCAGCAAGAACAAGACCTCTTGTAAGAAATAACAACTTCCAAACATTTCTGGACAATTTCTTATGTGATAATTGTTTGATTAAACGAATAAATATTTATTGGTAGTTATTGTGAATCCATCTCCATCATGCAAAGTAAAGGTTTAAGCTTATATACACTGAAAATCTCTTTGTTTTTTTAGCAGTTTCAGTTGTGTTTACATCCCTTGAGGCACCGTATGTACTGTTGTCCCAGCAATAAGAAAACCTCATTCAAAATCGCATTGACATTTGTAATAATGCTCATTACTAAAGAACATAACCTTGTTTCTCATGTGGTTTACTGCATTTGTCTAGACAGGGATGGTACACAAAAAAAAGATGTAATATTCATGTTTATTTAACACGACTTTCACTTTCTTTAATGAAACGATTGCTGTTGCGCGTTAAAAATCACACAGTGGTGATTTGAGCTAAATGTTAATGTCAGCGTGGCAACATGCTCACAATGACAATGTACATGCAGACGGTTATAATGTTTATCATGTGTACAATCTTAGTTTAGTGTGTTAACATGCTAAAGCAAGGTTTCCACCACAGGAGCTTTACCCCGGAACTAGGAACCTTTGAAGGAACTCGCTGCATTTCCACCTGCAGGGACCAGGGTCTAAATTAAGTTTGAGGGTGTTTATTTTACCCACCCAAAAAGTCCCTGCTTACTTTTGTAGTAGTACTTTGCGAGCTACTCACTACTTGCAGCCAGCGTGCAGCGGTGTGTTTACAGCTAACAGCTGATGGGCTTAAGCTGAATGCTGGGTCCGGTTATTGTTTTAAGTTTTCATCAGTCAGGAGGTTTCTACACGAAGCCGAAATCTGTCTCCTCCTCTCCAAAACAAGCGGACCAGTTGATACAACAGGTGATACAGCATGTTAAAAATCACGTTCCTCTGACGCTCAGGCGACACAGACACGAGTGCTGCAGCTGATCTGGAGATGATTTAATGACCTTCCACCCTGCTGCGATTTGATGTTTCTGTGCTGGAGTTCTGCCTTTATCCAGTTTGTTATTGAATTTGTAACAAACTTTAATCATGTGTATCTTCATTATTCTCCCACATAAAAAAGCAGTTTTTATTGGTCAAGCATATTGTTTTTCATTATATTCCAGTGAAATCTGATTTTCATTAATAAATGTTGCTCATGGATCGTGGTTACTAAATAATGATGCCCGTCCATCGCTTTGTGTGGAGTATACGTCAGCTGGTTAATTTGCCTAATCTTCGCAGGTTTTTAGGCCGCGGTAGAAACGCACACAACAGTGGGCTGAAGGAACCTATAAGTTCCTTGAAAAGTAGATCCTGACACTTTAAGATCTACTTTTAGTGGAAATGCGGCTTAACAAAGCTACTTGATACTAAACACAATGTGCAGCTGACGTTGATGGTAATGCCATTAGTTTTGCAGATATTTGGTTACAAAGTCTTGTCATTTCATGTGGCAAAAAACATGTAACACAAGATTAATAATTTGTATCTCTATTGTGTATCTACTGTGTTTCCTATATTGACGTGCACATGCATTATCATGAAATTGGTGAATACTGTATGTTTCCTCCATGTGCTTGTGTCTTCTTAGTATTTTGTGTTTTCACAAGCTGTAAAATAAAGATAACATTTTTATATGTAACTAAAAGTAATGGAATAGCAGAATGAGAATTTGCCTAGGTGTAGCTGAGCAGTTACCAATTGTATGTTCCATAATTCATGGACATGAGCGAGTTTGTGAGGCTGCACAAGTTGCCTTCCTTGTTACTCAGGAAAGCAGACAGTGTTCAAACCTTGCTATTATTACGGTCCAGGTCACCAAGCGACAAATAAGCCAGCAGGCTGGGTACATGTACCATATGCCAGGGGTCAGGGTGTGCCAGCCTGAAGACGGGCTGCCAGGTTTCCCAGAGCTCCATCCAACAGACACACTGGGACTAGTTTGGCCTGGATCACAGTACTGCAGTGTGTGTTCACTGTATTTAGCATTCAGGCCAGCTTAACTCTAGTTTTGGAGTCATATGCTAATTGCATGTGCAAGATAACAAACAATCCAAATTATCAAGAAAAATCTGCAAAGAGCAATATTTCAGTTCATGAACTCATTCATTTTATTTACACAGTTATTTCTGTTGAGTGTCATCAGAGGCTGCAGGCATGAACTGATTGGAAGAGAGCTCTCCAGTCCATCAAAGTGCTAAGTGTGGCACATAAATTCAGAATCCTGTTCATGTTCATGCAGAGTTCAGTATAATTGTGTCAGATGACATTGTCCACTGTCTTCTTTATTAAAGCAATGTGAGGTGATGAATCCTCTCAGCACACTGTTTGTTTGGCAGCTCTGTAAATAGATGTACCAGTTTGACTACACTACTTCTCTTACATTTCTGACGTATTTCACTTGTCTGACCGAGACGTTTGCTTGTCCCGGACAAGTTTTAACGTTAATTATGAAGCTCTGCATGTTTGACTCTCTACCTTGGCATAAGCAGTAGAGTGGTGTCTCTTCAGGATGGTTGTATTCTTCCCACCTACTTTGTAGCCACACGGCGTCTCTCCGTCTCCCGATACTACTTCTGCCGAATAATAAATAAAGTGTGTCCGTAGATTTTCTTGACCAAACCCTTTTTTGCTTTGAAGCCATTATGTTGTCATTAACTCAATGTCAGTTTGAGACAACATCATGTGGGATTCTGGGAATATGCATGGCACATCCATGTGCGCACATCAATCAATGACAGGGATGCATTGTTTATATCCTGTCAGACAGACTAGATGCACCGTTGGGGGGAAATATCATGTAGCCCACCACTAATATTTTAGTCCTGTCTCGTCCTGAAAACAAAACATACATTTTTTTATTAGTTTTTATCAACAAATATCAATTTTTTGCTCTATGACAAAAAATCAGAAAACTTTTGTCCATGACCAAAATGAGACGCTGAAGAGCATTTTTCATCATGTACACACCTATAGTCAGAAGAGCTGTAATCAGGCATGCTAAGTGAAAACACCTGTAGTGCCTGGACCCCGGGTCTGTAGTGCCTTTTTAAGTGATAAATAAAGATTTTCACTTTAGACATTTTGACATGTCGCAGGACTCACACAGGTGTAAATACAAGGTTATTTGCTTGTCAAACAAGGTTGTATAACGTAAAGAAAGGTTTTAGTCCCTTCATGCTACAAACACAGAACTTAACAGATAATTAAATGTGTATTAAAACATGGTAACGTTGAAAACAAATAAAATAAAATAAAACTATAGGCTATTTAGGCTACATACACACCCAGAACATTCTGCAGTGCATTTTTTGAATTTGCATCTGGGGAGAATGTCCAGCAGCAACAAGATGATTAAATGGTTTCATCTTCACATTAAAAAAGTCTGACATTTGGGGAACGGTGTCTATCTTGACCGCGTTTGAGCACCAAGCATCGTCGATGTAAAACCACATAGGGCGATCACTGAATGATAAAATGACTGAAATTCTTTTAGCTGCTTTACTGTCAGGGTCCTGGTATTGATATGGCTTGCTGGGACACCTGAATAGACGTAATTCATCATTCATATTATTAGTAACACCTGTGCTTTTCTTACAAGACGTCATGGCCTCAGTGTCCTCAATGGTAGCACAGTCCTGAAAACATATGATGATCTCATAAAATAGCCTGCATTGTTACATAATGAGCTACCAAACATTATACAGATTGGCTTAACACTGTAGAGAGGGTCCGTCTTTCAAAATAATTAGTTGGCCTTACTGTACACATCACTATCAATAATTTTCAGAGCTTTGAGATGCTTATGCTGTCTGCTGTATTTCAATTAACTGCCCCCAAACCCAAATAATAGCTTTTTAGCAGATTTTTTTGAATTTCTTGCCTTCATTATCCTCAACCATAATAGAGTTATTATTGTAGGAGATTTTAATATCCATGTCGATGAGCCTTCTAACCATTATGCCACTGAATTCATAAACATTACTGACTCCTTCAGTCTCGTGCAACATGTCTCCGGTTCAACTCATAACTCAGGCCACACCCTTGACCTTGTAATTACTTTAGGTCTGACTATAAAGTCCCTCTCATTGATAGGCATTGCCTTGGATCACAAATGTGTTCTATTTGAGTCCTCCATTCAGGCAGCTACTCCAGCTCTGAAGCAAACAGTATGTTTTTAATAATTAGTCTCCTCTAAATGTTGCACGTGGTAAATGTTGTGGTAGTTTGGTTAGGCTTAGGCAACAAAACTACTTGGTTAGGTTTACGTTATTTAACTTAAAACCTCCATGCAGGACTCGAACCTTGGTTTGTCTTGCCTCTAGATGCCACAACTGGCAACCATCAATCGATTGCTGATTTACCCCTGATCATAGGCTGAAAATCGTGTTGTGTGAACTAGGTTTAAGCAAGACTGCAAGAGGGCTGAGCGATGGAAAAAGCCAACACAATGTCCATTTTCTTTATAGAGCTTTTGATTTTGCTCAATCAGAAGATGCAAAAACAACTTACCTCTCAGAATTAATTACCAATAATTAACACGATCCCCGAGCCCTGTTGAGCACTGTCAATCAGCTTCTCCAGCCTCCACCCGCTGCTTTCTCTGTTACC